TAGCAGATATGCAGATGAATTAACTAAGAATCTTTTCTGTAGATCTAGAGATCAGACGCAAAAGCATCTCAGACAAATAGAATATAGTAAAGAACAGATACGTGCTTTCGTCCTTTTTCAAAAATCTGAGCATCATATTACAAAGAAGAATTCTATCAAAGATGTGGCCTAAAATATTCTAAAAAATGATAATTTATCATATATAGAAATTAATGAAGATGCATTTCATATTGTCTATTTAGAAGATAAAGAAACAACTACTGATATTATCAGATTCTCATAACTTTCATATCTCCAAAGAGAATTATGCAAGAATGGAGTATCAGATGAAGTGATTGATGCAACAAAAGATCATCATATAACTGAAGAATTAAACCGGCTTCAAAAAATAAGACAAAAAATACTCACACATCAAAAACTAGACTCTCCTAACTATTTTATGTCTGAAGCTATACTTAAAAGGCTCCAAGGATACAGTATATCTTATTGTCCTACTGAGCAAGCCCTTGTTAATATAATTACAATACTCTGTATACATTCTGCTGAAGTTATGACTCTTTATATTGCTAATAGACACATGACAGGATATGCTAAAGGTTGTAGAATAGTAAAGATGAATCTAAGAAATTTCATTCAATGGAAAAAGATGAAAACAGGCTTGCGAATTACTTACTTAGATTCAAAAAGTAATTGCAAATAGCACTTTGTGGGATCCCAGAATACTAGATATAAAGTGGTTTAATTTATTTCTAAAGCCTTATGGTATTAAGCTAAGTGATTTGCATGAATTGGATGCAAACTATACTGCTATGATACATGAATCTGAAAATTCTGGTCAAAGATTTATTATTATGCGAGAAGCTTTAAGACATAATCCAAGATATGTATCACTAGTAGAGTATTATTCTCGTGTACCTTATAGAGCTATTAGATGTAAATCTATATATAAAAATACTAAGAGCAGTCATACAGTAACTATATCTCTGCAAGAAAATAACGAAGTCGAAGTCGAAGATATCAATGACCTATATAATTACTAATTGCACTTCTTTGCTTTTATCCTATTCACTCTAATTTTACTTTCTTCACCCTCTTTATCACTAGACAATTCAAACTCAAACCCAGACTCAAACTCAGATGAGTCAGAGGAATTTACAATAAACCTATTGACCTTTCT